GGAGGGTTCTCCCACGGGGGGGGGTCTGAAACTTCTCGTCTGGGAAGATTGAGACCCCCTCCCTTTTATTACGAAATCTGGAGTAATGAGGATGTGCGGTAAGGATGCAAGTCCCTTGGACGCCCAAGGTGAAGTTGTTGAAGCTAGTGGTTGCCCAAGGATGGGACGCATGGGCGAGGATGCAGAGGCATTATTGGGAACAATACCCAACCTTCCTATGCGCGTTGGCTGTAGCATGATGGGGGCAAGGGGTCCTGGGAGTGTTCTGGGAGCGTTGGAGTCGCACATCAGGCCCGAACGCATACCCATCGATCGGCAGAAGTAGGTAGAAACATGCAGTAGGAAGGCGTTGAAAGTAGATTGGGCACCGACCGCCCCCTTAAGGAGGACGCAAAGAAAAGATGGAGCCACTAGATCATTGCAGTAAGCAGGCGCTGAAAATAGATTGGAACCTGGGAATCCAAAATTACCTAGAGACCGTTTTTTTTTGAATCGGCGATAATCCGGAGGGGGGGGGAGGCGGGGACCAGCCGATAACCTAACCCTCGCGCTGTGGGAAGCCCTGCGTATGCCCGCGCCCACCCTCCCGCGAACTGCACAACCGGCACGGTTAGGGAAACCTGGGGGGGGAGGGGGGGGGGGGGCAAGCCGGATAACCCGGGCTATCTCGGCGGTGGACATACCTCCCTCTAGTAAACCACCCTTTAGTGAAAACGGCCCGGGACCGCAAAATCACGGCCGCGACGCCCTCTCGCGAACAGAAAACGGCCAATTCGCGAATCGACACGTCAGGGTAGGAGGTCTGTCCACCCCCGATGATCGCCCGACCCTGAACAGGAAAGAGCCTCCTGCTTCCACCTCCTCCTCCTCCTCCTCCTCCTCCTCCTCCTCCCCCTCCTCCTCCCCCTCCCCCTCCCCCTTCCCCTCCTCCTCCTCCTCCTCCTCCTCCTCCTCCTCCTCCTCCTCCTCCTCTTCCCCCTCCTCCCCCTCCTGCTTCCACCGACCGACGGGCAGCACGGCACCCCGCAGCAGGCCGCTCCCCGAGCGGGTCGGCCGGGAGGCGCCCGCCACGGAGCGCGCGCGCCGCCCCCTCCCCGTGGCGGGGCCGACGAGCACGCGGGACGGGCGTGCCTCTGTGAAAGGAGCCCTTGCGCCGCCAGAAGATGTCCATATCCACTGCCGCGGGATCGCGCCCCTGGGGTCTCAGGGAGCAGCAGATATGGATATATCTGCCCGCCCACGCGGGCGCGCGGAGATCCGCATCCACCACTCCTTGGGATATCCCGGGCCACGACGACCCCGCGGCAGCGGATATGGACATCTTCTGGCGGTGAAGCCCTGGGACACAGAAACAAAGACATACAAATAACGGGATTCCCCACAGTTTCCCCATCTCTTCTGGGTGTGTGTCTTCCCCCCCATTTCCCATACGTTTCCTGTCTGTGTTGCTTCAACTCCTGATTCTGGGTGGTGCCGAGGATGACGAAGACGGGTCCTGGATTAGGTTTTTCCCATCGTACTTAAGGACCACATCCCACAAACAATTTCGAGCACGCGGAGAAGTGTCGAAACAGTGTCGAAACAGTGTCGGACGAGTGTCTCCCGGGGCCTGGCGCGTGAAAACCCTCGACTTTGGGTGCCTTTTTGGTGCTCAAACTTCTTTCTGGTGATCAGGGCTAAAGTAGGTTTGAACATCATAAGTCCGGGGGGGGGGCAGGGGTCCTGGGACTCGGCGGCGAGCGAGGGGGGGACAGTGAGGAGGAGAAGGCCATCTCCGAAGGCGGAAGGACTTCTCAGCAGCCCTCGCGCCTTCTGAGAGGTCTTCTGCGCCTTCGGGGAAGGATGAGAAGCTTCTCAGAAGGCCAAGGGACTTCCGAGCCTGCTGAGAAGGCCCGCCCTTTCTCACTTCCCCCCAGCCTCGCCGCCGAGGGATCAAGAAAACACGAAGGACATTACGGTACCCTCCCCGAACCGACTTCGATCTTATACCTCAGTTCGACTGTACAGCATACGCTGTCCAAGGGGAATTCGCCTGCTCTGACAGGATCAAAACCCCTAAGGCATTTGCTGCTCAGGGAACTGCCCAGGACTGCCTAGAAACGTCCGATGCCCAAGACTGTCTGGCAAACGCCCAAAGCTGTCCAACAGGTGCCCATGTCTGTGTAGTAAGCACCGTGAGGAGGAGGAGGAGGAGGAGGAGGAGGAGGAGGAGGAGAAGGAGGAGGACGAGGAGGAGGAGGAGGAGGAGTATGAGGAGGAGGAGGAGGAGAAAGAGGAGAAATGAAGGGATGAGGAGGAGGAGGAGGACGAGGAGGAGTAGGAGGAAAATGAGGAGGAGGAGGGGAAGGATGAGGAGGAAGATGAGGAGGAGGAGGAGGAGGAGGAGGAGAAGGAGCAGGAGGAGGAGGAGGAGATGGCCAGTCCCTCCTGAACGCGGCCCCGAAGCGGCGGCGCAGCGCGCGAGGCTGGGCGCCGCGCCTCCGTGGCCTCCTGAGGCGCGGGGGCCGGGCAGCACGCCTCCGTCTCGGAGGAGCTGGCGCGGCGCCGCGGCCTGCGACCACCGCGGCAGGACCCAGGGCTGGGACCCGAACAAGGGCGCCAGCGCGGGCGCCAGCACGGAACCCGCCACGGCGGCGGCGTGGGAAAGCATAGCGCGCACAGGACAAGCCCCGGAGCCGCAGCTAGCTGAGCCCGACCGGAGCATGGAGCTCGTGCTGCTGAAGTCAGGTCCTGCGGGGAAAGATGGAGAACCGCATTATCATAATGAGCTCGACGCTACGGGCAGCGACGACGACTCACGACGACGACGACGACGACGACGACGACGACGACGACGACGACGACGACGACGGACGACGGACGACGGACGACGGACGACGACGGACGACGGACGACGATGGACGAGAGACGACGGACGACGGACGGAAGGACGGAAGGACGGACGGACAGACACGACGACGACGACGACCCACGGCGACGACGACAACGACGACCACGGCGACGACGACAAGCCGCGCCCCTGATTGGCAGGAGGACGCCCCCGATTGGTGCAAGGCGGCTTGCGCGGGGCGCCCCCGCCACGGCGGCGACGACGCCGCCCGAGCCGACGCATCCCACGCCGGCCACGGCCGCGGCGACGCCCACCACCACCGCGACGACGCCCGCGGCGGCGGGCGACGGCGGCGAGGGGGCGGCGGCGGCCAAGGGCGGCCCCGCGGCCTGACGGTGCAGGGCGGCCTGCGCACGCTGCCCTGGCGCAGCGCGCCGTCCCTGCCGAAGTAGGTGCACACGGACTGCAGCTCCGCGGGCCACGGCCGGCGCCAGTCGCCCGCGACGCCTCTCGCGGCCGAGGGCCGCCGCGGCCGCCGTCGCCGCGTCGCCGCCGCCGCCCGCCGCGGGCGGGCCCCGCGGGCGTCTGCGTCGGACGGGGGGTGCCAGAGGAACCGCCGCGGAAGGACCTCGGGGATGTCGAGCCCCTCCCGAAGCCGACCCGTTCCTCGCTGCAGCGTCTCGACTGTGCGTCTGGAGGATGACGATCGGCGTCGCTGTCCACTTACCGCGGGGGCCCGACCACAAGAAACCTTCCACAAGAACTCCAACCCTGAGACCACAGGACGTCCATGGATTCTTGGCGTGGGAACGTCGCGCCTTCCACGGCAAAACCATGGAGACCCAAGAAACCCAGGGCACCCTGGAGGCAAGCAGGGCGTTTCTTGGCATGGGACGTGGGGGAGAGGATGAGAGGGGAGGAGGAGAGAGGAGGAGAGGGGAGGAGAGCGGAGGAGAGAGGAGGAGAGAGGAGGAGAGAGGAGGAGAGAGGAGGAGAGAGGAGGAGAGAGAGGAGGAGAGAGGATGAGAGAGGAGGAGAGAGGAGGAGAGAGGAGGAGAGAGGAGGAGAGAGGAGGAGAGAGGAGGAGAGAGGAGGAGAGAGGACGTGCTTGCCACAGGAGGGGCCTCCAACGGCGCCCCCGTGGCCCCTGACAGGTCCAGGGATCGTCGTCGTGGTCGCCGTGGTCGCCGTGGTCGCCGTGGGCATCGTCGCAGGCGCCGTCGCAGGCGGGGCCTTCGTCGCCATCTCCGCCGACGAGGAGAGGGGGGGGGGAGGGGAGAGGGAGGTGGGGAGGGGAGAGGGAGAGAGAGAGAGAAAGAGAGAGGAGGGGGCAAGCTAGGGGCGCTCGCGCCATGTCTGACGTCCTACCCCACTGCGCTGGCCTTGCTCTATCCGCCGACGGGTGTGCAAACGAACCCGGAACGCCCCAGAGGACCCTACAGTGTCATGCGCCATGCGCAATGACAAGAGGGGGGCTGCGTGCATTGGAGGATATGGCGGGTGAACTGGACGATGAGCAGGAGGAAAAGGGAGCGGGGCGACGACGAAAGGAATCACTTGGACACCCCAAAAAATGGCCCGCGAGAGCGCCTGTCTGAAGAACTGGTGCCAAGCGCCGATACGGACACGAGGCCAACGCTGCGGCGGGAGCGCCAGCTTCGAGGGGACCGCAAGCAGCCCCAGTCCTGCGCGCAACGAGACAATGTGCAGAGGGAGGCGCGCCACTCTCAGAACAGCCTCGGCAGAAAGAGAGAAGGGGAGAGCAGCACCCGTGCCCCAAACAGCAGGTCGGGCATGTCCTCCTACAGGCGGATTTGGAACGAAAAAACAGAGATAGTCAAAACAACTATTCCAACATGGTCGAAAAATGTTAGGAACATCGTCCCGACACCATTTTTGACTATTGGTGAAAATCCTCCTGTAGAGGGACAGGTCCGACTTACCCCAAACGGTGCTTGCTTTTCGGGGTTCTGAATTCTTTCCTGAAGACCTGCGCCTGCGCGTCAGTCTGGCGGCTATGTAGTCGCCGTGGCCGCCCCGTCGCCACCTCGTAACCGCCGGTCGCCTGGGCCTGCGCGACGGTCTGGCGGCTATGTGAGCGCCGTGGCCGCCCCGTCGCCACCTCGTCGCCGCCCGTCGTCTGGGCCGGCGCGTCGGGTCCGCCGCCCTGTGGTTGCCGTCGCTGCCTCGTCGCCGCGTCGTCGCCGCCCGCCGCCTCGCCGCCGCATCGCTTTTCAGTGTGCTGGATTGGTCTGCATGGAATAGCGTGTCGTTGTATTGCTTCGCGCGTCTTTGCAATGCATTCGACTGATCTGAACAGCTCTATGTGCGTCGCTTTGCACTGCTTGGCATTGATGTGGAATCCTTGCACTGTTTTGTTGTGTATCTGCGTTGTTTGTCAGCTTTGCCTTGGTTTGCACTGCACACCATTGCCTTGCATTGGTGCACATCGCTTTGCATTGCTTTGCATTGCTTGGTTGTATTTGGCACTGCTTGGCGTTGCTCTGCTTTGCTTTCAATTGCTGTGTATTGGTTTGCAACACATTTGATGGCATTGCATTGACTGTACTGTTTTGCATTGCGTCGCATTCCTTTGCATTGCTTTGCGTTGCAGTGTTTTACGGAGCCTGGCATTGCTTCTCACAGCTTCCCACTGCTTTGTATTGCTTTGCGCCACATAGATCGCGAAACATGGAGAATCACTCCACCTAGATTACACCTCATCAGTTGCACCACCTAGTTCCCTAGTTTGCAAGAACATAACTTGGGTTCCACGCTGATATGATGATCGGGGGGTGGAGAACACGTCGGAACACCTCTGGCACCGCGAGAAAACTCAGACACACTTCCTCCTCAAGATGAAGAAAACAAGGTGAAGATAAGTCCGGACGATGATGAAACGGGACGCTCTCAGAGCCAACGATTCCGGAAAACATCTCAAACACCGTGATCGTTCCAGAGCGCTGCAGAACGCTCTGAGAGCGCTCCTCCTCCTCCTCCTCCTCCTCCTTCTCCTCCTCCTCCTCGTCCTCCTCCTCGTCCTCCTCGTCCTCGTCCTCTTCGCCTGAAACCAGGTAGCCGCCCCCCAGCGAGAAGCGGCCAGGCGGGCAAGTCTCGCAGCTCTGCCGCATCGCCGCGCCCGGCTGGAACTGCATGGGCACCGGGCCCTGGACGGCCTCGGCCCTGAAGGGACGGAGGAGCAAGACGAGGAGGGGGAGGAGGGGGGAGCAAGAGGAGGAGAAAAAGGAGGAGAAGGGGGCGGAGGAGCAAGAGGAAGCGGAGGAGGAGGATAAGGAGAAGGGGGAGGGGGAGGACCTGGGATACAAACCGCTTGCCCCGCGGACGGCTCAGTAGAGTCCTCCGCGATCCGCGATCCCAGAGCATCAGATATCGAGGATCGGAGCTTCAGAACAGGATGGCTCGGCCCGGTCTGGGAGGCCTGTGGAGGCCCCGGGGGGGGCCTTCTGGGAGATGACTTCCCAGGAAGACGAGACGGACGGTGCTCAAAACCGAGTCGGGAAATCAGACCGAATCGAAATGCGCGTCGGATCGGGCCGCATCGGGACGTCCAAGCGTCAGCACAGGACGAAGCTAGGACGAAGGTACATTCGGGTGAGGGTACGTCGGAAATCTCTGAGATCTGGAGGCTCTGGAGGATGTTTCGGGCGCCGCGGCCTTCTCAGAGCGTGCCGGAGCGCTGTGAGAGCGTTCTGGAACGCTCTGGAACGGATGTATCCTCGCCATGGCCCCGACCGACGGAACCCAATCGGGGCCGGAACCTATGTCGAGTCGGAACGGATCAGGCAGACCAGGCAGGCGAATCCTCCTCCTCCTCCTCCTCCTCCTCCTCCTCCCCCTCCTCCTGTCGGTCGGTGGTACCGCGATAGGTTCGTAGCCTATACACGGGTGATGCAGAGCAAAGCAAAGATGGAATAGGTGAAGCACATGCACGTGCAACGGAAGGGAGGAGGGAGACCCGCAACGAGAGTACACCCTCTGCGCCCCACATGGGGAGGGCCGCCGAATTCGTCCAGCGACCCTTTGAGTCATGCAGTCATTCGCCATGCCATCGCCCAAGTAAGGGTCGAGCGGGATGAAAAGGCCCCAGCATGGAGCTTCAAATAGGCCCTAGACCCATGGCACGAGAGGAAGGAACCACAGAGCATGGCAGAGGCAAGCCAAAGACAAAGAGGTTCGCATGTACCTTCGCCAGCACCGTCGTCCACTGGCGCCTGTCGCCGAGGCCATGAAGGCTGACGCGCGCACAACCGCCGCGGCGGCCGCGTCTGGGCGCGCCATCCTCAAGCCTACACAGAACGGGGCGGTGCACCGCTGAGTCTTGCGAGCTTCGACGAACAGAGTGGACACCGGCAGCGCGCGCGAAGGATACCAAATCAGGAAGATACCAGCCAGGAAGAATGCTGGCATTGGACTGGCGAGGGACGGGATGCTCCATGACGCGCGGAGACGAAAGTTTCCAAGCCTGGCGCACACAGGGCACTACGGCCCCGAGAAGGTCAATCTCTAGTTCCTCCGGTCGGAACTCCCTCCGAGTAAAATAAGAAGGCCATAGAGCTGCGCGGGGGGGTGGCAGGCCGAAGGGTGATTTGTGCATTCGACTGCCAGATGCCGAACTGCATTCCAAGTTTCGAAGGGGGACCATCCAATAATTCCCATAGAATACATCTCACCAGTTAACTGAAGCCACTGCGTCGCGATTTTCCTGGCGACGCAAATCTCCATGTTCCAACAGTTGCGATTGACATCGACGTTGACAACGCAGGCCTCGCGGGGTGCCGCTGCAAGAAACGCTCAAAACTGCATGCGAAAATCACCCCCTCCCTGATTCCAAAGAAGATGTGGAGGATCAAGCAGACTTGCTGCGGAGGTGGGCTAACAGGACCAGTCGTGGAGGAGAGAATCACCACTGCATCACCTGGGACCGCAGACCATAGGCACTTGCGGCCGAGGCTCAGGCGCAGCAGCTGCGGGGGGGAGACGGGGCCAAAATTCTTCCAGGTCGGGGACGAAACGCGCTTCCCTTGGAGCCCCCGCTTGCCACTATCCCGTCGCAGTCGCCTGAACTCCTCAACGTCGGAAGCCCTCTCGGCGCCCGAGGGGAACCATTCCACTCGACAAAGCCTTGCCAACACTTTCCCTTCCTGCGCATGCGTTTGATATTGAATTGGGCCTGTCCTCCTAAAGGGGGATTTTGTACGAAAAATAAAAGAATGCCCCCAAGACATCCAACAGTATCGGGAACTGACAAAAAAACGACTATTAGTTGACTATTTTGGGATCTGTCTTTCTTTGCGCGCGTGCCAAGCCTCATGAGGTGGACGTTGAGAGAACATGATGTTACAACGCTACTCCGGAAATTGATATGCCAAGTGAAGGAGCAAGCGGGAGGAAGCAGGAGGGAGAGGGGGGGAATGCCTACCTGCAAACGGCCAGGAACGCATCTAAGCCTTCGTCGACAGCCACCGCTTCGGCCTCGAAAGCGCTATGACAACTGCACATGCGCGTGCTTCTGGTGCCCGCGAGGACCTGTATCTCGGTGGACAGATCGATGAAAGAGCTAGCTGCAGCACCGCGCTCTGACGCGGAACCGCCGTCGCAGCAGAAAAAAAAAAACTACTAGCCGGCCCGGCTAGAGAGAGATCACGAGGACACCGCGACCATGATGTCCGCGTCTCCAAGACGACGTTGGCAATGTGGTCTGCCGCGTTGTCGCACTCCCTGCGCCGCCAACGGACGATTGGGAGATGCCCCCTCATGGGCAGCCAACCGCGCCCGCTCAGAGCGGCAAAATTCCTCCGAATGCGCACGAATACTAGCCGGAACGAATCGTCGGCCAAAGCCGCCCCTCCATCAACAAGATCCGCCACAGTCTCGCTGTCAACGCGCACCTCCAGCCGCCGGCCTCCAGGGTCCCACGCACTGTCTTCGGAGTGTAGGTTTAAGCACGGGATATTGTCCATGGTGTGCTCGCGGAGATCGCCCGGGGCCGGGGTGGGTCGGCCGCGAAGAGTAAGCTCCAGTCGCGGGAGATGCCACGCAGTGCAGACTGCGTCTGAGAAAGCCCCGTCGTGCCGCATCAATTGCGCCATGTTCTCGCACCTGTCACGCATGCCCCTCGAGCGCAGGCCGAAAGCCAAGCAGATCGGGGCCCCCCACGGGGCGCGGCCAGCACCAGACACCCGGTGCGCGTAGCCTTCGCTACGGCGGCGCCGCCGCTTTCCATGGAGCGCGCAAAATGCGTCCCATTCCACCACGGTGCGATACAACCTGGCCTTGCGGAGGAAATCAGATTTGTCTGGACGCCCATGCCAGGCTGATTGAAGACGGCCTTGAGGATTCGAACATGCAGCGGATCCAATGCACGTAATTGAAAACACTTGTGTGTTCTCATTGCAGTACGCTGTAAGAAGCTCGATCGGCCTTCGTCTGGTCTCGAACGGAGCTTGAGGAACCAGCGCGCGAGGCCCAACCCCCAAGAAAGAGCCCGCGGCAGTAAACTCTGGTTCACATGCCAGGCCGACCATCCAAAGGCCGCAGACGCGGCGGGCACGCGCGCCCAAGCCGCCAGCTTTGACTTGAGAGAGGCCCCTGGCGAGAAGGTGCGCTGGCGTTTTAAGTGAAGACCAGAAGCAATAGACAATCTGCGCTCCGCGCCTGTTTGCGCGGCTCCGGACTCATCCACAAGCGCACCCAAAACAAATAATTGATGCACGCGCTCGCACTGCATGCCACTTCCGGCCCGGTGGACGACGAGAGCCGGCAAGCCTTCGCGCTCAGAAGCTGGACCAACTAAATACTGCTATGATGGTGGTTTCCAAAATAGCCCGTGCAGTGCTAGATCGGCGCTTAAGCCCTCTGTCATGGCCCTGATGCGTCCGTGGCGAGATGCGAAAAGAAATATGTCGTCGGCCCAAACGACGCGCGCGCACACCGCCCCATCCAAGATGAAGCAATACCCTCTGGAAAGCCATGCGTCGATCAACGGTTCCATGAGGTTCTCGAAGATGGAATTCCAAATGCCCGGGATTTCTACTGCGCCCTGCTCACCCCCCCACGACTACGGAAAGCTCTCTGTAGCGCCCGCGCCAGCGATCTGCATTGTCGCGGAGACGCCAGTGAGTTCGCTCATGAGCGACGCGACGCGCCCAGATTGAAGTCCCCGGGCCGTCGAAACGTCGTACCGACTGACGTGCTTTATCGAATCGAATGCTGTCGCAACGTCCAAGGCGTCGCAATGAAGAGGAATGCCCTGCGCGTCGGAAAGGTAAAACAATTGTTGAATCAACCCTGATACGTGCTCCGGTCTGCAATCCTTCATAAACCCGTACGTCTGGGCGCTGCTCGGGCGTAGTTGGTTCAGCACGGACGGTCGCATGGATCTCATGCACCACCTCTGCAACACGCTTGTTTTGCCCATCCAGCGGTAGTCGCCGAAGTCGGCGATACAATTCTCCTTGGGAAGGCCTTTGAATTCGACGATCTGCCCATGCACCGAACCCCTAGAAGTCCCGAAAGAAGCGCAAGTACGGAAGAGTTTCCAAATCTGCAACACAGCAGCCCACGGCAATGAAATGAACACTTCAGGTGGAATGCCGCCGGGGCCCCGCCTGGAACCAGGTCGAAGCATGGCCGCCGCCTGCATGGCGCCCCAAAGTTCGATCGCTGTCTTGGCGGAGCCATCGATGACATTGCTGCGATGCACTGCCAACGAGGTATGCAACCGATCGAGCTGCTCGCGGGCGGCGCTGTCGGCGTCGGAGGAGCGATCACGACCAAACAGGCACGCATGTTGCAGCCGCTGTTCTCGGTCGGCGGTCGGGCGCCCACCCAGCGGCAAGCGGGCGGGCAACGTGCAGCAGCGCGACCGGCAGAGCGACAGCGACTTCAGCTTCCGATTTGCTCGTTGCCTGCTTTTCTTGAGCCGCTCTCGACGAAAACCGCGGGCCTGGTGCCGAATGGCTGCTGGCGACAAGACGCCTGGCGAAGCGCGCGTTGCCGGCTCCAGCAGTTGTTCGTCTTCAGGCATTGAAGACCTCGGGCCCGTCGCGCGTTGAACAGCCCAGGCAAGATGCCGCAATCAATCCGGGAATCCAGGAGACGCGCAAGCCTTGTCGAAAGATTTTAATGCGACGTCGCCGGCCGGTCGCCAGCCGCACAAGGAT